GTGAAAATACCTTCCTTTATTTTTGCATTAGATAATCCTGGGAATTTGTCCAATAAGTAGTGGAAGTATTTTCCATTCTGATTAAGGGCTTTGACGAATTGCTTAATCAATTCTAATTTTTTGTGGAGAGGAGGTAAAAGTATTTTTTTTTTGGATCACACAAGGGTTTTTTGAGAACATTGTGTGATCCTGGCTTCAGAGACATGCGAAGTGGCCACTTAGATTCTTCCCAATGACGTGTAGTAGCTCTACTATCCCACAAAAAAATGTAACATGGGTATTTGGTATACCCCGACTGCTATCCAAGAAGTATAGTTATTACTTTTAAATCACCACATATGAGCCACTTATAATCTTCATATTTAATTTTCTCAAGAACTATCTGCATATACTCGTAAGATTCTTTTAGATACACTAAATGGGCGAGTGGAATCGAAACATATTTATTTCCATTGTGAAGGAGGACAACCTTCAAACTTCTTTTAGAAGAATCGATGAAAAGACGGCATTCAGTAGCGACGTATATCAAGCCTAATTTTGTCATTAAGCCAGTCACGTCATGACAGTAAGTCAATCCATCTTTCTCTGCGAAATATCTAATATATTATTGCTCTCTGTTTCTGTACTAAGAAAAAGTTGTTTTTGGAGCCAACAGATTAATTTCTTTCAACCTAGAATCTAACAATTCTGATTTATTTTTTGGCAGGTCCAAATCTTTAACCTAATTATTTAGAAGAGCTTGTGTAAACAAGTGAGGACTTTCGGTTGTATCGAAATGTTCACTATCATCTGACTGCGGATCTTCGTCATCCACCTCGATATCATTTATTTCGTCTGGGCTCCTGGAAGTAGTAGGTAAACATTCTGCTTTCTTTAGGGGTGATGATTTCTCACAGACTCTGAGTCCCTCGTAAAACTGGTTTAGTAACAGATGAGACATTAGGATACAAAATTGCAGATTTATTCTTACTGTTGAAACCTTTCAGGTCAATAGAACAAAAGTAACAGTCATTATGATCACGTGGCTCACGCCAGATCATCGGTGAACTGAAAGGCAATTTTTGCGAAGAGTCGTCTTTATTCCAACGACTTAATATTGTATGGCAACTTACACAAATTGTGTTTGGCACCCAAGATTTGTCTACATTCACGATAAAATAGCCAAAATAGTTTTTGTAAGCAGTTTCGATTGAAGGCGTAATGTTTCTCCTTTCGTTTTTAGTAGCGTAAAGTCCACATACGTTGCAGAACTTGTTAGGATCGTTCACGCAACTCCGGGGAGACATTATAAAATAGACGATGAAGATTACTAGAAACTTCAACTGGGATTCTCAACTATCCTGAAAGGGACTGTCGAGAAAATGCCGCTCGATCGCAAGAAGTACGCCGAATCTTTCAACTATCCTGAAAAGGACTGTTGAAAAGATGCGCGTAAGGTGGATCAAAGCAGAATTCTCAACTATCCTGAAAAGAACTGTCGATAAAATGCCGCTCGATCGCAAGAAATACGCCGAACCTTTCAACTATTCTAAAAAGGACTGTTGAAAAGATGCGCGTAAGGTGGACCAAAGCAGAATTCTCAACTATCCTGAAAAGAACTGTCGAGAAAATGCCGCTCGATCGCAAGAAATACGCCGAACCTTTCAACTATTCTGAAAAGGACTGTTGAAAAGATGCGCGTAAGGTGGACCAAAGCAGAATTCTCAACTATCCTGAAAAGGACTGTTGAAAAGAAATGCGTATGATCAACGGAAACCGGACTCACAACTATTCTGTTGTGAAAATTCCGCTTGATCGAAAGGAGTAACGTTTGCTTATGCACTATTAAGGGGTTGATATGATTGCCATCGCGCTATTAGGGGGTTCATAGCATAGTTCTTATTAATGCGGTTATTAAGAGGTTCATAGCATAGTTCTTATTAATGCGGTTATTAGGAGGTTATTAGGGGTTGATAGCACTGCCATTGCATTATTTGAGGTTGATAGGATTGCCATTGGGTTATTAGGATGTTTATAGAATAGTTTATATTAGGGGGGGTTATTAGAGGGTTATTAGGGGATTGCTAACATTGCCATAGAAATATTAGGGGTTTATTGGTCAGATAAACCTTAAATTCGGGTTCATTCAATGCAATTTTTTGGATTTTACTTTGACCTAACCTTAACTCTGAGCCGACCAGGTCAAACGCACCCCAGATTCGGATTCAGCGACCCCAAAAACATAAATGTAACGGTATTACCTTTTGCACTTTTGTTCACATATGACTTTTTCGTGGGGTTGTCATATTTGTATTGTTGGTACTGTTGTTATGAAATCGTTAAAGTGGTGAACTTCATACGATGATATCTCCGCGAAAAAAAAAGATTTGTTAAATTTGAACAATGCGTTGGAAAGGGTAGAAGCGGTACTTTGAGATGGTTAAATTCGTTTATAGCAAAAAAAATGTTTTGCGGTGTAATATAACTTTTAAAACAGCGAAAATACGTGTTTTTCGCACTTTTAGGTTAGAATATCTTGAAAACGTGACGTGATAGAGCATTTCTGATGCCTGATTCGTGCTCAACGCATCAAAAACCTTTGGAATACATGAATAGTGTTCTTGCGATAACTCAAAATTTTTTTTTGCAGCCCTGTGTAATTAGCGTGTCGGTACGAATAGCGAAGTGTTTAAGAAATATTACCTTTAATATTATGGAAGCAATGAAAGTAACAAGAATATTGTTAATAAAATGAAATAATAAACAAAAATGTAACCTCAGGTAATGATAGATTTCAGTTTCATTACCTATTGATGTATTGGATAAATTCCTTACATTAGATTTATTATTTTTGTACGGCTGGCTTTGGTATTTCTTTCATTCGTGACTACGCGTCAGCTTTCTATTTAAATTGTTGTGGATTTCGTGTGATTCCTCCTATATTGGATAACGGTTGCACGATCGTGCTATTAACAGCCAATCACACTCAGCACAAGTTCATCGAGGGATTGGCAGAATAAACGGCAATTGTAAAATGAATATGCTTGAAACTGTGGCATGCACTTGTATGGTTGGAGATGTTTATTTCTTAAAAAAGAGGGAGTGATCAAAAGATAAATTAGGAACTGAATCCTATATACTACTTATCGAAAAAAAATTGTAAAATTTATAAACGATGCTCGAGTCAGACTGACTATCGTTGGCCAAAAATGTATCGCGGGAACGCTAATTTTCCTGCCTTGACTCATCGCGAGTTGGGAAAATTGATATTTGCGCGTGAAGGTAGTGGATTATGCTCTTACCGACTTTTGTAGGGGAAATAATTTTACATCTAGACCGCGCTCGCGAATCAATTGCGATTTTCGCTTCGTTAAATAATTTCGCCTACCTTTGTTGACTCCACGAGAAGACTTTTTTGAGAACTTTGCCACAAAATCAGCAACAAAGATACATGAATTGACGGCGTTCTTATGTTGACAGTGTTTGTATTAGCCTTATTGAGATCTAATAGGCATAATGAATAAAGTTTGAAACGAGTCAAAAAATGTATCTACTAGTACTCCGCTGTTGCGACAACATTGAATGTCATAGACAGGGTCGATGGTATTTGTGAGGAAATTTAGAGTTGATTCTAAGTGAGAGAGACAAATATAGAATAGTGGAAAAAGAGTTAAACGAAGATACAAAATGTTAATTAACTAAGTATATATCCAAGAATATTAAATATTGACTTTTTACACTTTCCTTCGAGTACGCGAATTATATCTAGAAGAAGGTTTAGTGTTGCAATGGTATCTTTACAGTCCAAAAATAGTCTTTCCGATTTGCAGTTTTTGCAGGCAATAACCTTAATATTATCAATATAATATTGTGATTTTGTATTAACAATTTCTGCTAAGGCAGAAATATTGACATTATTTTTTACGCTATACTTATGATGATTAATGCGACTGTTGAGTATTCTATCTGTTTAGCCAATATAGAACATATTACAGATAGATAATATTACTTAATTAACGTAAGTACAGCGTGAAAAATAATGATATGTTACATATACATATAATCACAATATTAATTTTAATAATGTTTTGGTCGTTGACTGTGAAATGTACAAATTCAAGAATTTATTTTCCGAAATGTTGTATATTTATAAGACTAAAAATAACACAAACAGACAGTTAGATATCATTAACCTTAAATCTAAGTACAAAAATTTGCCACGATAAACTTTCTTGCATATATAATTTGCGATCTCTAAACAAAGTAAAGAAAGTGAAGATTTAAGACGATTTTGGATATACGGTTAGTCTGTTCGATTTTTCTATCTTTGTTTAATCTTACTCTTCATTGTTCTATCTTTGTCTCCCTCATTTAGCATCATCTTTAAGAATTCTGTAGAATTCAAGATTACTAATATAATTTAAGAATTCTGTATAAATAATTACTACCTTGTCAATGACTTTCAATGCTTGTCGCAACAACGAGTACTTACAAGATGAATTTTATGTTATTTTATTTCGAATTTCATTCATTATGAAGTTACAAATCTCTCATAATTCGTGAAGTTTAATCACCTTTCATCTTCTTGTTTTATTTTTTTGCATTTCATTATTTTTTAGTTCAGATTTGCAAGTGTTGCCTATGAAGGTGTTTGCCTCAGAAGTTATTGAACCAACTAGTGACATGTTTCTTTTGTAAGCAATTTCACATTATATAATAGTGAGAAGTATTGATTATATTTGTTGTAGCTTATTTTTGAGTTGTCTCTTGAAAATTTAATTTTGAACATTGTATATTTTTTAGCCGTGAAAAGGATATTAAATCAAATCTTCGAAACGTTGGTCGATACATTTTTGTGAAATACATTTTTTTATGCTCGAAGGGATCCACCAAAATAATTTATTTTCAATAAACCTTATCCATATGTAAATTAAATATACAAATATATGAGCATTTTGCAAAAGAAATGGTTTTAATTACAGATTTTATTAGTAAAAGGAAATATACGATTTTTTCAACAGGTAATTACCGTGTTAGTGAACTTTTCAACTCAACTCTTTCATCACGGTATGATGCATGTACAGCTGATTCTACTTGGATATGTGTTTTTTGTAAGAAAGGTCCACACTTCTTGGTAGAAGCTTCAAGTTTTTTGGAAAAATCCATACCATTGTCTGGAAACGAACCGGTAAGATTATTTCAGATGTCTTTAACTTTAGTATTATTCATTTATAATTCATTTATTAACCAAAATAAATGTGCATATATTACATATTAGCAGTATATGTGATTGTGTGTGTGTATGTATTTTTGGTGAGAGTTGGAGAATGCTTTATGCACCTTAACGAGCCAGCTTGGCTCGTCATGTATATTACCCATCAACCTCCCGTCTATCTGGTCTACCTATATCTCATACGGGAATCTCTTCTACACATTACTTCGTGAGGGAGGCATCGGCTAGTTTAGCCTTGTCTTCTTCGTCAAGTATTGTCCGGTCGTCTTCTTTTTTCAGCATCATCCGATCCTTCTCTGACAAAACTCGGTCTCGACACCTACGTTCCTCTATATAGATTAAAGTATCCTACCAAATTAGTTATCTCTGTCAAGCTCATTGTATCTTCCTTTTTCCTTATCCCTTCTTATAAAGATCAGATGATTCACTATAAATGTGGAGAAGGCTACTACCACTTTCTATCCTTCCAATGATCTAAGAAGGCACTTCCTTAAGCCCTCATGTGCAAGAGAAACACTCCAGGTATTGCTAGAGAGTTAGTGATCTTCTTGGAATCGAAGACACTCAAGTAAGACATGCTCCACGTCTTCGTCGACTCCGGAACAGGCCAGGTATTCGTTGCTCTGGTATACACTAAAACGATGAAAACAGCTGCGGAAGCAGTCATGACCAGTGAATACCTTCGTTAGTTGAGAGGTAACGAGGCAGTGATTTTTGTTCGTCCATTTGTTGACATATGGAATAATGTGGTAAGTCCAGCGATCTTAAATATCTTGATCCCATCTTCGCTACCACTCATGGATTGTTTCTTGTGACCAACGTTTCCAATAGATGTGTCTATCAGCGTCGTTCATTTCAGTACGCGTTTCTTCTCGATATTTTTCTGCTCTTTGGTATGCCCTTACGAGGTCTGTTCAAAAAGTATCGCGAATTTTGAATTTTTTGTAGCTTTATGTTGGTACTCATGTCCCTTATTTATGTTGACAAGGTCGGATATTTTGAATGTTTAGTTAATTTTTGACATCTGTTTTGCTTGGATGTGTTTTGGCTCCTCTTCGATTTTTGCCTATTCTAAAAAATGAATCAAAGAATCTGTATCAAATTTTGTGTGAAAAACAAAATAAAGAGCGCGAAAGCATTCCAAATGTTGACTGTGGTATATGGTGAAGCTACCTTAGACCAAAGCAAAGTTTATCGGTGGTACAAACGATAAACTTTGATAAAGACGAAAACATTGATAAAGTGAAGAAAATAGCATTGGCCAATCGTTGAATCGCCATTCGATTGTAACCAGTGATTTCGGCATAAGTCGGGTCACCGCGAAATTCGTGCCAAAATTGCTCAATATCGACCAAAAACAGCTTCGCGTTAATATTGCTCAGGAGATGTTGGACTCGGTCCGTGACGATCCAAATATAGGAATAAATGGTTATTTGTTCGAGTATTTACTCCTATTAGTAATAAGTCAATTGGTTAATATCACAACGTCTATTTATTATGAATACAATTGACAGACTAACTATTGAAATGTTTTTTCATTAAACGAAATGAATGTTCGTTGCTATGCTCACACTTTTGTTTCTCAACCACGTTCGAATGTTGGTTCGAATGCTCGGTGCGCTCGCCACACTACCCCCCTTGGCAGAGAATTTGGCTACAAATTTAAAATGTCTCGAAATTTGACTCTTCTGCCAAATCGCGTAGTGCGTTCGGGAATTTGCGTGGGGTCTGTAGGCATAACATCAAGAACAGGAACTGGTATTGGTTCTGTAGGTACAGAATCAGGAACAGAAACGGGAACAGGAATTGGTTTTGTAGGTACAGCATTAGGGACAGAAACAGGAACAGGTGTGACATCATCTTGCAAAATGAATGCAGGTTTCACTCGGTCAATAGAGACTTTGGTAGGTTTGTTACAGATCTTGAGTGTAATCGTTTTTGTGTTTCGATCCATGATTTCGTATGGGCCAGTGTATGGTGGTTGGAGTGCCTTTAGAAAAGGTCCTTGTTTCAAAAAGGCATGACTGCATTTGGAGAGCTCCTTGAAAACGAAAACGCCAGGTTGACAGTGTCTTGATGCTGGAGTTGGGCGTAAGCGTGACATGAACTCTCGTAAGCTTGAGAGGAAGCTGTTTGGATCGCCGAGATTCTTGTTTTTAAGGTTTGAAGAAAGCAGTTCAAAAGGTAAACGAAGAGTTTCTCCGTAGACCATCTCTGCTGAAGTAGCCTTGATATCTTCTTTAAAAGCAGAACGAATACCAAGAAGTACAAGAGGCAAAGCTTGAACCCAATTGATGTCAGAATGAGCCATGATTGCAGCTTTTAAATGGCGGTGTAAGCGTTCGATCAAACCGTTCGAAGCAGGATGCCAACTTGTAGTGAAATTGTGTCGGATTCCGAAGAGTTTTGTAAAGTTCTTGAAGAGGTGCGACGTAAATTGAGGACCACGATCTGAGGATAAAGTTTCTGGAAAGCCAAAACGAGATATCCAGCAATCTAAAAGTGCTTGAGTCACAGTGTCTGCAGTTATGTTCTCTAAAGGATAAACCTCGGGCCATCGAGTAAAACGATCGATGACAGTCAAGCAATATTGAAAAGTACGTGCAGGTGGAAGTGGACCAATCAGATCGATGTGGATGTGCGAAAATCTCTTCGTTGGAGTCTCGAAATTTCCAAGTGGAGCGTGAACATGGCGAGTAATTTTTGATCGTTGACAATCGCTGCAAGTACGAGCCCAATTTCGGCAATCTTTATTCATGGAAGGCCAAACAAATCGATCGCTGATCAATTTGAGTGAAGCGTTTGCGCCGGGATGACTCAAAGTATGCAGTTGGTTGAAGATGTCACGACGAAAAGGCTGTGTGATGAAGGGCCGAGGTTTTCCTGTTGATGTATCACAAAACACCATAAGTGAGGTACCAGGAATCGGCACACGTTCAATGCTGAGAGAAAAGTTTTTCTTAGTAATTCTTCTGAGTTCTTCGTCTTTTTCTTGAGATTTAACTAGCAACTCAAAATCAAATGGTGCAGAAACGGTTTCGATCCGGGAAACAGTATCGGCAACGACATTATCGGTACCTTTGATATGTTGTATATCTGTTGAAAATTCTGCGATGAATGAAAGTTGATTGAGTTGAATTGGCGGGAGCTTTTCACGTTTTTGTTGTAAAGCGTAAGTTAATGGTTTGTGGTCTGTGAAGATCGTGAATTGGTACCCTTCCAGAAAATGGCGAAAGTGTTGAATCGCAGCGTAGATAGCCAGAAGTTCACGATAATAAGCAGGCCAAGAACTTTCTTTTGTTGACATTTTCTTAGAGAAGAAAGCAAGAGGCTGCCACACGTCATCAACAAGCTGTTGTAAACAAGCTCCAACAGAGTGGTTCGAGGCATCTGTAAATAAACCAAGAGGTGCACCAATGCGAGGGTGAACAAGAAGTGAAGCAGATGAAATGCAGTTCTTGCAGGTTATGAAAGCTTCTTCAAGTTCAGGTGTCCATGTGATTGGTTGAGCGCCTTTCAATAATGGATTACTGATTGCACCGTGCAGAGGAGCTTCATATTCAGAGGCATGAGGTATGAATCTGCGGTAAAAATTCAACATTCCCAGGAAACGGCGAAGATCTTGAGCTGTTTTTGGTAAAGGGTAATCTTGAATCACCTTTACTCGTTCTTCTGGGGCTCGAATGCCAGCAGCAGAAATGGTGTAAGCAATGAAATTAACCTCTTGAACTCCAAAGATGCACTTCTGTGGATTGATAACTAGGCCGTACTTTGCAAGACGTTCGAAAATAATTCGAAGATGACGCTCATGTTCTTCTTTAGAACGAGAGAAAACGAGAATATCGTCCATATAGGTGAAACAAAAGTCCAAACTACGCAAAACTTCGTCCATAAACCTTTGAAAAGTTTGGCCAGCATTTCGAAGTCCAAACGTCATGAATGGAAATTCAAAAAGACCAAATGGTGTGATAATTGCAGTTTTACCAATATCTTCTTCAGCAACTGGAATTTGTTGATAAGCTTTTACAAGATCGATCTTAGAAAAGATGATGCAACCATTGATAAAATAAGTGGCATCGTGGATATGACGAACCGGATAGCGATCCGGAATCGTTCGAGTGTTTAGCTTTCGAAAGTCACCACAGGGACGCCAAGATGAGTCACTTTTTGGTGCTAAATGCTGTGGTGAAGACCAAGAACTTTCAGAAGGACGAGTTGTGCCAGCTAATAACATGTATTCAAATTCTTTGCGAGCGATTTTTAATTTTTCAGGACATAATCGGCGAACTTTACTTGTAACCGGTGGTCCAAGAGTAGTACGAATGTGATGGACGGTTTCGTGTTTGATGTTTCGAGGTAAACCCGGAGGACGAGTGATTTCAGAAAATTCAGACACAAGTGTAGCGTATGGTGAAGAATCTTGAACCACTTTGATACTGCTCTGCGAAAAAGGCTGAGATAAACCTTGTACTCGAAGACCAGTGGTTACGTCGACGATACGTTTTGTATGACAGTCCGGTAAAAGGTGATAATGAGCGAGAAAATCAGACCCAATTATCGGCAGATCGACGTCAGCGACGATGAATCTCCATGGAAAATCACGACGAAGTCCAAGGTTAAGATTTAAGTTTAGAAAACCATACGTTTTTATTTTGGTTCCGTTTGCAGCACACAACTCGTAGTTAACAGGAGAACGACGGTCTCGTAATAAACGACGAGGAAAACAGCATAAATCAGAACCTGTATCGACGAGGAAACAATTTTTGGTAACTTTATCAACAACAATGAGACGGCTACTAGATGAAGAGCAGTCAGATGCCGTCCTTACGGACTGCTTTGGTCGTTTCCCAAAAACTTGCAAGGCTTGACGCACTTTTTAGCATTTTGCTGAAACTTTTTGTGATACCAACAAACCTCGTCTGTTTTTTTGTTAGAAGAATCGACCCGGTTTTGAG